GATCCATCTGCTGATATCTGCATGTGATCCAGATGTAACAAACAGAATTAGTTACGAAAATTATTCCAGTCGCGAAGTGAAGATTACGAAGAATGGGACAATAAGATGAAAAAAAAGAACCAAATAATACAACATCAATAACTCTTTTGATTACGCATCAAAACTCATCAACTAAAGTATTGAGATTCTTTGAATCCAACTCTTATTATAAACTTACAATAGAATGAGATTTCTTATCATTTTCCTTATACCTACTTAAATTGCAAAGAAGCATAAATGTCTGTAGTTAGATCGAAATCAGCATATTGAAAATTTGCAGCTATGATGGAATTGTATGTGATATTCAAAGCAAAGCCTATCAATCAGTAAATGTTTGAAGAAAAAGATTGATGAAGGCGCGAAACTCTTCAAAAAGAAAAATTGCTCTCTGAACCTGCCCAAATCAGGAGGGTGCGAACAAAACAAATGACTATCATCAAGGTTATGTGTTGTATTCAAAGGACGAGCTCGCGCCCCAAAATAGAAAGGGTGTTGAATGAAAAGATATTACACATTATCGAGTTCTTGTAGACAAGACACTGATGCCTTTCAGCTTCTCACATAAATCATATCACACCTGTTTACTTGTTGTTGGAACAAACAGCCAATCACACTTGTGATAAAGTATCACCGATAATTCTTTAGAAGACAATGCATTTGCTATGAGAATGTTGAATGACTGCCTATCAAAAATATGATTAAAAGATCTCATGTGATTCTCTATGGCAGAATAAAGTTCTATAAGATGAAACACAGAATCTTTGGCAAATTACTCAATGGCATCCCGAACAAGAGATGTTCAAAAAGTGATATCCAACGTGTTTTGGCGACAAAAAGACCGGTTCCCACATCGGGAGATCTCTTAATTAGCACCACTGCCTGAAGCAGGGAACTTGCAAACAAACAAAAGGGTTGAGATGCTGATGTTAACCACATATCATAGATGGGGAAAAATGCGGCACAAAAAGCGAGAAGCTTTAGTCTTATTCTGCATACTTGTTCAATAAGTAAACGCTGTTATGGAACAACAAATCAGCAATCTTGAAGAATTGCTGCAACGATTTCTGTGCGAGAAAAGCCCTAAACACATGTGGAATTTTTTAGTAGATTTTAATAGTTTATCTAAATAATTACATCACCCTTCATTAGCTGAAAAAGGCATCATGACATGTAAGCTAAACATAAACAACGATAAGTTATTAATTGCTTAACAGGGAGGCATGGCATGTAAGGTATTGGTTCCCAATCCTTTGAAACTGGTTTGGACAAGAATAACATATCCATGACATCTGGACATTATGCAGCCTGAGCTTTGAGCTCAAAATTAATTATTACTTACATTACCATGAAAAATAATTCAAAAGGAATACTTTGGAAGATGCATCGAATTGCATGTAAATGAGAAAAGTTAAAGGCAAGAGGAATCACAGAAAGACATATCACTCGATGAAAGACAGTTCTGTTATGTAGTCGTTACAGAAATTATAATACAACAAGTGCAGGTGAAACGAAAGACTACAAAAGGCTCATTCAATGAATTGCTTTTTAAACGAAACTGACAAGAAGCAAATAGTATTGATGAGGCCTTAGCATTCAAGTTAGAGACGCCTCTTCTTGGCTTTGCGGCGTTTAGTTCGACCAAGCTTTTGTTGCACAATGCCGTCAATAATACTTCTCCTTTCCTCTTCCGTTTCTGCATTCTTCAAGCCGAAATACCTGCAAAGCCCAAGAAAATCAGAAAAAAAACTTCTTCTTATCTAACTAATTCTATTGTTCCAAACATTTCTTTTGCTTAGGTGAATCTCCATGCTATCACAAAGCTTGGCTAAGAGGCCAAAAATTCCAAACATGGGGTATGTTCTGTTTACAGAGAAAATAAGCGGACAGTGTGTTCCAGTGGGATTATCCTAAGTTTTTTTGTTTCTATTTTCAGAGTACACTAAATGCTCCGCTTCCTCAGGGATAACGTGCAGAGATGCTTGAGCAAATATAGCGATGATCGCCTATTTTTATTCGCTTACAAGGATGAAATTAATCTTGTGGGAAGAATTACTGCTGTGGACCACAATCTTAACGGTAAGGTAGTTTCAAATGTTAATGTATGGATTTCGCTTGAAGGCTACATTACGAAACTGCCCGCAGAAAGGAATAAGTAAAGAAACCTTGTGAGTTTTGCTGACTGGAAACAGTCCTCTACATCAACGTCAACAACTCGAGTGCATGATTTGATACCCTCAATATCTGCAAGGTATATTTTTTGTAAGATACTTAGCTCCGCAAGAAACAATTAGCGCCTACCTTCACACACAAGAGTTCCACAACTTTTTGCGCACATTATACGAACTCTCTGCCAATGTCCATCACATAGTCCATTCAATGACCATTCGCAGCATCTTCTACTGCGATCTCGAGCTTTTTCTGCAATTTTAGACGTAATTAATTTTACCATATCTCTTTCTGCTTCAAGGATCTCTGCATGGGTATTACCTGGTTGAATTTCGGCTACCACTTTACGCCGTGTATGCAGATCAATGTATTGGTGAATTCGCCGTTGTTCGGGAAGAGTCTGTAGATTCGTGTCAAAGGTGCCCACATTAACAGCTGAGCGAAGAGGTGAATGCGGCGGCAATACCTTAAATGTAAATAAATGTAGATAATTAATCAACTATACCTCAGCTAATCAGTTTTGTAGATCGAATAATGTATGTTTTAGCGAAGTACTATGTTTTGAAAAGAAAATAAGAAAGTAGGCGAAATTGGCAAACTTTATTGTTGCAGTACATCTATGTGAAAGAAAGTGTTTCGAACTTCTACCTGATTCCGAGACTATTCAATATGTTCTGGCTCTCATGACATTTAGTACACATGCATATGCTTACCTCAAAACGTACACCATTTCTACTATCTTCACTGACACCACGAAAGATTGGGACCTCAGGCTCTTCCACTCGATTATCATCGGGCGTTTCATGTAAGGTTGGAAGGGGAAGTATTGTAGTTGTGCGAACCCAGGGCTCTGGCTCACGCTGCACAAATACCTTGTTTGGCATATCTGTCGATAATGTGTTTCTCACCGATACATCCGTTCCATCGTCGGAACCTGACGGGCGAAATGCGGGAGGATGAGGAGGAGGTAAAGGGTCGTACGGATCAGCGTCCTCTGAATCCTCAAATGGTGGCTCCAAATAGTTGATGTACTTTGGTACTATGTCTTTTGGCGGAGTTTTTGCTGCAGGAAATGGAGTAGAGTAGCGGTTCATTAGATAATAGGGAGGAAAAGCAGGCGGTGACGGTTGTGGCCTTCCCGGTGGCAACACCTTCATAGTAAGCCTTTTTGGAGTAAGCGTTATAGGGACATAATCAGATTCTTCTTGAAAACTATCTCCATCTGTGTTCATTGCATCTCCCCTTAACAAAAATTGTGAAAGATTCGGTATATCTTCAGTTGAGATACATACCCGATATTGTTATTGTTCAGGCCGGCTCCATCATACTCCGTAGAATGGTCAGCGGGCATTGCTGCAAATATCACTTTTCTATTTTCCACTTAAGTTCAAAGAACAAAAATTTGTAATAGCTGAATTAGCGTGATTAAAAATGTTAGAATTGTGAGTAGATTAAACGTACGAGCCAACGGTATCCTACTTTACACAATGGACTCATGGTTTCTTCAACTAACAAATTACCCTCATAGCCGTCTTGTGGAGCTTCGGTATTTATAGACTGTGATTCTTCAAGAGAATACTCGTTATTCACAAGTGCTGGCGCTTCAGGCCATTCGTTAGGACTCGGCTGCGCAGGTGAGGTGAGCAAATCAATTGACACAGCGGCTTCGCTCGAGCTAAAAATTAAAGAAAAATGCATTGCAATCAGAGGAGCACAAGATTATACAAAAAAAAGTTTCGAAGACTTATCAACATTTTAAATTTTTATTGCTGTCATTTGTACAGTCACCAAACTGAAATAAAAGACTCGTAATCAGTGTACTCAAATTACTTTTTATTTGCTCTTCATCTCATTCAAATCGATGGATGATACGGTTATGATACGGTTCTTCGTGCACTAGTAACCACATCCGCAAACGCGCACACTCGTTTGTAGTACAACTTTTTACAAAAGAACAGCTTCCCCAGTTCGCATATTTACACAAACTTGCTTTTTACTGTTCACGGGACATTTTCTAGGTCAGTTCATGTGTATGCTGAAGAATATGTGCCAAAGGCGATGTGGTGACATATGCAAGAAATGTAAGGAAGGTTCTAGAGGAGGAATTAGCAGTGTAAAGCCTAACAATTCATCTACTTCATTTTTAGCTCCTACTATAATTTTGACCAAAAGAATTTGTACAAATACAAGGAGTTACATATAGAAATTCACCTTATCCCATCAGCAGTAATAGCTACGGTAGACAAAGTCGCAGGTCCCATGAAATCTCTTTCAATGTCCTCTGCCGCTGAAACTGCCGACCGATCCGCATGAGCTAAAAGAAGTTCGATTGGTAAAAGGCGTCAGATTACTTTATAAACAGCTCACATTCCGGCAGACTCGTTACAAAGGCTGGCATGATGGTAGTAGTGCTATCTGGGCGATAGATACTCACTATAGTCGATGACCACCCAAGATGTTTCCGAATGGCCGCTTGACACTCTTGCGAAACTGAGACGATTTATTGCAAACTCAATGAAAATTGAAGTGGGAGAAAAATTTGAGTTAAATAACCCACATAATCTACATTTTTGAACACTTGTCTTTGTATGAATCATGCACATGTGAACCGTAGGATCACAGCTCACAAAGCATTCTTCAGCTGCTGGCAGCCATTCGGGATCGCTGAACGGATCCCCACCTATGAAATAATGCTGGCTATTCAAGAAGATTTTCTAGTCACTTAACTAGCCTAAGCGATCAGCCAGAGTGTATAATGATCAAAAGGGAAAATGGTTCAAAAAATTTTAAACAAGGAGAACTTACATATTGCTTCATTCGCAAAAACAAATCGATAAACTAATGTAATGAGGTATTTGTCTTCTTCATTTTGAACAACATGCAATAACATGTAGAGGAATGTTAGATTAGAAAAACTGCAACAGAGTCTCATAATCTCATTAGACCTGAAATCAATCGTGTATTGATTAGGGAACAAAAATCCCTTGCTTAAGCTGGAAAAAATAAATACAGCGAAAAGATGTTTTCGAAAGAAACGAGTTAATATTTTTAGAGATCATTTTGAGTTGAGCAGCTCAGAAGCCACCTTTATATTTATGGAATACTAAATTATGGAAATCCTACTTAATTTTAACTGAAGCAAAGATGATGCGCTCAACGCACTAGCAAGAATAATCAGACAGGTGAGCTCCGATTCACAGAGGAGAAAAAAGAATTCGAAATAATGAGATCTGCGTTGAAAATTGACAATGTGTATATCACCTAGAGGAGGAAAAAGTCGGCGCTTCCCGGAGTCTAAAGTGCAAGTTGGGGCGTTTGGACAGGTGGATTCATAGACGATAGAACAGAGATGGTATGCATTCTCTTTAAATAAGAAAAGTATTCGTGAGTTCTTCGCGCGTGCTGCTGTTGGCGCAATCCCTTAGAAGACAGATGTAATTTTACTCTACTCTCGTTGGAGCTGACCGTAATCAAATGGGAAATGAGAGGAGTAAAACCTGTAGGTGGTCTTCTTTGATTCTCCTTCTTGACGCCATCAGCGTCCACGTAATGTCACAGATGCAAATTGGAACATTCAAATCAAGCCGTTTTCTAGATGTATTGTCCAGCTCACTTTTACCTTGATATGGAAATCTCAACGAAACTTTTATAGGAAAAGGCAATACCTTCGCCACACTGATGTGAAGGAAAAGGAAACAAAGGTTAAGGCAAAGGTATCGGATTGAATTTTAAAGTGGAATTTTTAAATGGTACTAAGGCTACACAGTATTGGCTACGAACATCATCCTTTCTTGTTGAGTGGCCGATATCTTTTGAACGAAATTCGCATAAATATTAAATTTACTCAAACAACAATTTAGAATTCATTCGATCATAATTGGAAAGGTGAGCGATTATTTAGAAGCAGAATACGACATGGTATGCCGCCTGTCATTTTAAGAAACAGACTACATATGTGTACACTCAAATAATCGGCTATCATAAAAACTTTCTACATCTGCACGCACTTGAGTTATACGAATGAGTATTAATTCTGCTTTATGATTACCAATAGTTATGATACAGTTCTAATTTTTGACATAAAAACTGGCTCGATGTGTTTCAACCACTAAAAATTCATCACCAAAGTAGGTTTATAAAGAAGAGTATGTAGAACGAATGCTAATAAGGGTGCGCAAAATTGACTAAAAAAGTGAATGCTCAGTAAATTGAAGTTATGGTCATGTTGAGTGGGTCCGAAAATTCACACTCGAACTCGCATGTTACTAACGTCTCGCAAAACAAACAAAATCACACTCAAATCGTGCTCGAAAAGAAGCATATCGATGTGAGTGAGTAAACTCTGAATTTGCTATTGTTGAGAGATTCGATGCCAATTAGCCAAAACTTGAGAGAGACTAAAGCGCACAAATTAATCAAGAAGGTCTCTTGCTTAGGATAAAGTTCTTTTCGGTTAAAGAAAAATAAAGGCATTCCTTCTTTTATTCCAATCTTTTTGCTTTAATACGCGTCACATAAAGTGTGCTATAAAATATATTAAGTTGCTTGGAAATGTTAATGTTGCTCGA